TTGAGTGTCTGATTCAAATAGCGCACGTCTGGCGACCCCAATGTCATTACAACATCATGATTTAACATCACGCTTTCGCTACAGCAAAACGCAAACAGTCCTGACTGTTTTTTTTGACAAAATACGCTCTACATACAGTAACTCTAAACACACTGACGCATGCTATGAATGACGACACCAGCGCTCCCAAATGAGCAGCCAGCCTACAAGGTCAAAGTCAGAACAAACTATATTTCTCTATAACTATGACCGTTGTTGCCACGCTATGAGGGCGGCATTGGCACAAACAGAACAACCCTCCCTTGCGGTCAAAGTCTCGCCGCTTCCATAGGCACAACTGGATCACACTTTTGAAGTGAGGCAGGGTTTCACGGATCGTCATTGTTTGTTCCCTTTCCCCGGCATCTATTACGCACCCATCCGCTCTTAGGGAGGCCATCGCTGTGTTTCAGTTTTGCCAAGGGTCTGACCAGGGGCCACCAGGGACGAACGCAGAGTCATGCAAAGCCACGAACACCGCGGTGCGCATCGCCACTTGAGGCACATCCACTGTGCACAGGATGGGGAAGCTGCGGAGGCTCTCCTGAAGGCTGCATCGCTTGGGGAGGCATTCGATCGTTCGTTTGGTTTCGAAGGTAGCGGATGCCTGCAGTTTGATCTGCTGGGGTGCAAAGCGCCACAGAACCTCTTTTAGATAAAACCTTTGATGATAAAAAGTTCCCCCTGGCTTTCGGATAACTTGGCATGTCCTCCCAGAGCGCGTAGGGATCCAACTCAGAGCAGCGGCTCGAGTAGGAGGTGTCCTCATCCGAGAATCTCTGGCGCACTGCATCCTCCTCCAGCACAGCCTTGGTTGACCAGCTTAGAAAGGAGATGTTTGCAGCAGGTCAGGAAATCGCCCATCCAATCGATATAACTAGTCTTGTTGTGACTCCTGCAACTAACTATATAGCATCTCTTCAGCAAATGTTTGGTGGCTCGTTTTCACGACTGACAACTCAACTGCTGAAAGGGCACGGCTTGCAGTTCGATCTTCAGTACTTGCCCAGGAGTCTTCACGGCCAGAAACACGGCCTCACCACAGGCCGAGGCAAAGGTGGAGGAGACCACATCTGCCACTGGCGCCGGGAGCTTTGCGCGGACCAGCAAGATTAGGCTCTTCCGGACAATGTCCTGGAACATTTGGAATGTTGGACTGGACACCCTCAAATGATTCAAAACCTCATGTTTGCAAGTGTCTTTCAACATATTTGCCAAAGCTGATCTCCTTCACTGCCCAAAAAACGGAGAGTGCCGGCACAGTGGCTAAAACGGGTCCAAGTCCATCAAAGAGGCGCTGATACAGCAAACTGGGATCTGGGGTGACGACACCAGAGCCCCGCTGCAAGCGGGTCTTGAAGGTGTCGATTGGGTGGAGGAGCAAAGCATTGGTGAGTTCCACCACAAAGCCTGCAAGAAATCCGCTGATAAGGACCTCCAGCATGCTGGTCTCCTTTCTTAGAATCCGCAGTTTGAAGTTCTTGAAGGGAAGTTGATCAAAAACCCAATACTCGTCTTCGGTGTCACTGTCTACTTTGATAGCTGCAACCTTGTCCAAGACTGGCGCGACCATTGCTTTGGGGCTCCACTGCTTCTCAGGCTTCGTTTCAAGATCAAGAGTCTCGCTGGGCGGATGAACTGGTTCAAGATTAAGTTCGATCTGATCAGACGAGATCACCGGGTTCATCCCCGAAAGCCAAACGACCAAGGAGAAGGCAGCGGAGAATGCCAGGGCTCGCACCATAGATGGCATTGGCTTTGCCAGGCCATATCTTCGTGCTTTAGACCGAAACATTCTCCGCCGTAGGAGCCCTGTTCCTACCACGCCCGGGCTTACCAAGAGCGCTATGAAGCGGGCGCTTCTGTCACACTCCGCCTGTGATCTTGAAGAAACACTGTGAGGACTCGAGAGCGACAAGGCACATCGCTTCAGCAACGGTGAGCACTGCATGGGGAATTGTTAGACCTTTAGTGAGTGGTCAAATGTACTTTTTGATTTGTGTAAAGTGTGAGTCTTCAATGGGTTTGGTGCCAAACCAGTTTCCCTTCAGTATCTTGTTCTGGATCAGCGAAAGTCGGGCCATTGCTGCTTGTTACGATATGTCTTCGTCCAAACGGCCCAACTGCACATGTTGATTTGAAAAGAGGCCCAGCTTGGGCCAAGTCCTTCGAAAACGCGTGAACGTACGAGATCTGATTCGTCAGGCTTAGCCAAGCTTGGCAGTGAACTTGCCTGAACCGCTGTGAGGCAAAGATTCATGGCACTTGCCTACTGAAGTGACCACCCATGCTCATAGCTAGCACTCTTTGGCTTAGCCTCCTGCCCGCTTCTCTGATCCTTGAATGCTGGCCAAGGCTTGTCGGGCCGCAATAACCGCATCAGCCTCGGAAAACATCCAGCGAGCTAGCATCGAGTCGAGCCATGTGGAACGTCAACTTTGCATCAGCTCACACATCAAAATGTCCATGTGCTAGGCAAGTGCAATTGTGTCAGAGAACGAAACAAATTATTCATAGACCTCATGAAATGCATCATATGAATCATAACTTACACATCCCAGCTGTTGAGGCGGTCAAAGAACCAAACCTGCTATGTCTGCTGTCCCTTTCTCAACGTTCTATCTGGAGATGCCTCCCACATTACCCAGCACTATATGCTTCCAAATTTGCCTTGCATTGGCGTCCTGTTCTTTTGGGTTTGCTTTGCATCTTTGCAACACTGACACAAACTGCTAAAACTTGTTCCAAGTCTGATATTGCACGGCCTGCTGGTAGGATTACAACCTTGTGTTCTGACCTATGTGTAGACATGGACATGTATATATATATAATATAACTATATTATATACATATATACATCCCAGCATGCTACAAATTGAACGTGCGATTGCGGCCAAAGGCATCAAGTGCTCATTCACACAAGTTGAACTTTTCCTGAGTTTCTATATAAATGGTTTTGTTATGGATGTTGTATTGAAACTAGGCCTTCCAACGGGATTCAATGGAGGTGCGGGATGTCCTGTGTTTTACAGGACAAACTGCTTCTTTGTTCGGCTTAAATGCAAACAATTTGCAGCGAAAGGTAAACTCCGTTGCCGCTTCTGTTCTTCAGTTTGAAGCCGCAAGCCGCAAGACTGTTGTTTTCTCAATGCAGATCTCTTGTTCAGTTCTTCAAACAAAGTTCACACATTGTGACATTGGCGCTGAAAACTATTGAATCGTATAGTGTCTCCAACAAGGCACCGCCGTCGCTTCGGTGACGGTGTCCGTGCGGGTCGCGAAGTCCAGCTATCCATCAGGACACGAGTATGCGACACAGCTAGGTCGCAAAGCCGAAGGAGACGACTCAAAAAAACCAAAGAAGCAACGATGGACTCAGGTATGTGGCCACTATCAACAAACTATTTCCGATCCGACTTCCCGCAACAATCTAACAATTCGGTAAAATGCTCAATAAAGTCAAAGTCTAACAAGCAACGATCAACATCTAAACAAACGTGAAGGGTTGAAGAGGATGTAGGCTCTTTTGCACAAGTCGACAAATCGACTAAGGGTACAAGATATCAACAACCAACGAAAAAATACAATCAACAAGGTAGGCGGAAAACAAAAGGACCGCTTAACATGAGAAGCGCAAAGGCAAAAGACACACCAAGTAAACAAAAGCAAAAAAAATTACAAGTCACGCATGACATGGACTTGAGCCTGCAAAACTTCCGCTAAACAAAAAGTGTCAAATGCCAGTGGGTGCAGCAAAAACAGCTATTGCCCCTGGCCCTTCCCCCCGCCCACACCTCAACCTCACCCCAAACCAACAGTGTTGTAACATGCGCGCGACTACACATACAGTCTTCAAACTGTTGGAATATACATTGTATCTGTACAGTATGTTTGTGTCAACATGCAGAGCACGAGGGTGCACTTCGCAAAGACCCAGGAATGCCTTGCCACATACCTGCATTCTAGATTAGATTATATATAGTTGAACTTTCAACACGATTGACTTAAAATGTCACTGTTTAGTAGCTTCGGTTTATCGTATAGTAAGTAGGTTGCTGCACTTATCCAGCCACCGGAAACCTCCCCTTTGCCTGGGTCCGGATGCATTTTGGTGTCCGACCCTATCTACTCTATGCACCCATCGCAGTTTGCTATTTTGCAGGGCAGGTTTTGAACTTGATGTTCAAGGGCGGTAACATGTTTGTGGCCCCGAAACCCTGCAGATTGGGCCTCTGCGATGATTTGATTCTTGCTATGCTGGTGCGTAGGTCTAGGTTCGGCTGATGTGAGTAGTGGCAGTTGTTTCTGCTCAATCCTGCAACATGCTGTGGCATATCAAAATCAAGTCCTCCCACAAGGGATTCCAAACAATGCTGATCTGCACTCTGTCTGTGTTGCTTTGCATCTGCCCTTCATGGACGGTTGTTCCGATGTTCCTTTGCCTGTTTGCAGAATGTGTTGCAAAGTATTTCAATAAAAGGGCATGTAACAAAATGTAGTAATCTGTTCCATGTGCCTACTCTGACTACTGCAATCTGCATGGTCACTGTGGTTGATCAGTGCTGTCGACTGTATTTCTGGGCCCAGAATGGGTGCTATGTTGGTAGGAACGGGTGCACCAAGCGGAAATGGCATCTTTTGCACAGCGGTGTTTCGTGGCACATAGAGCTGTGGCTTCAACGCAACGCAGGCCCAAGTGGACTCCGACCTCTTCCAGGCAGCGCAGCATGCCGCCTGAAGACGAATCCAAACACACTCTTAGGAGCAATGGCTTTCCAAGCACTGCAAAACCAGCTTTTCTAAACAATTCAATTCAAAACAACACATTGTGATGTTTCTCTGGAGTAAAATTTTGAACACTCCCTTTCGGCCTACCCGGTGTCCGCTGCAGTGTCTGTGAATCTCTTCACTGCAGCCGAAAGGCCTTTGTAACCGAAGCTAAACAAACTGACAGCAAAGCATGGGTGACTTTTGCAGGAAAGAACCCCCAGCTGTAAAGCTTGTAGGTACTGACTAGTGCAGGAAACTTTCCAGGCAGTTGCAACCAGGGCATCCACACAGAGTGGCGAACTTCTTGCATACAGCCGGGGGATACATGTTGCGCGTGCAGACCTAGGCTTCAAGCATGCAGTAAAGACGAGCACAATGATTGCGGTGTTGACACAAAGGCTTGATCCTTTCAAAACCAAGACGCCAACCCAAGCAGTGCAAAGGGCTCTCATGGTTGACGCAGTGCTGCTTCACATCCTGCACTGTCCGTGCTATTGAAGTGGATCACAGCAGAGTTGAGAGATCGTCCTCTGCGCATGGATGGGCAGACTCAGGAAAGCGTGATGCCAAGATGGAGATTAACTTACCCCTGAAGGAAGGCCTCACAGATTGAACGGTTCAAATACAAGAAAGTTTGAGCGAGAAAGGTAAAGCTGATCAGAAAAGATATTCAATCACAAGAGATTCAACCGTAAGACCACGACTGAATCTCTTGCATGAACTCCTCCAAGAGGTGGTCTGACGTTTCAGCACTTCCTGCCACTTTCTAGGAGTCACCAGTCAAGAAGGAGTCATTGCTCCCACTTCTGCATCCTGTCACGCCAAAGCGGTCCTGTAAATGGGAAAACGGAAGCGATGTCCTCCAAACCCATAGGCCTGACCTCCCGTGTCAGGTGCCGAAGTCAAATGCGTTACAAACTCCAAAAACATATCCCGTTTAAAACGACTGGCAACCAATTTCAACCCGACGTGAATTGAACACAGCAAACAGGCATCCTCGGTCTGCATCCCATCCCATCCCATCACATCCATCCAGTCCTCAAATCCTCCAGGCCATGTCTCCATGCTCGGCTCCGGCTCTCCCACAGCCGCCACGAAACTCAGCCAAAGGGGTTCATGGCGCAACCTACACGATTAAATCACGCGGTGAAACGACACCAACCGAGCCAACGGAGCCAACGAAAAACACAACGATCCGGATGAAAAATGCCAAAATGGAAAAGGGAATTTGCTGCGCAAAACAGTCTGGCATGATTGTTTCGCCGCCTCGGGTCAACATAAAACGAATGGTGATCAACATGCGTGAAACCTCTCCCAGGCCTCATTCCCAATTGGCCGAAGAAACCTTCCAAGTTGCCCGGCACAGCTGCGAAGTTTCCAGCTGACACACATCATGGCCATGTGTGGACTTCACGTCCTGCCTTCTCTGCTCCCATCGGAAAGGGCAGACGTGATAGGGCTGTATCATTTTAGAGGAAAGAGCGCATGTTCGGCTCTGCAATGTTCCATGTGCATGTGTATATGTATATGTATCCTTTACTACTAAGCGCATGTATATAAATATTGTGTATGTGCACATGTATATGTAAGTGTATTTTTGCAACAAAACTGCCGGCTCACTCAATTTAGTTTTCTCCCACCATTTGATGATGAAGCTTTCTGACGTCCAACCAAAGCTTACCGCAAAACTTTTGCATCAGCTGGATGGTCACTGAAACCCGTGGACACTGACCGACCTGAAAAGGTTGGGAGGACACTGCAAAATTGCGGCGCAAGCGCGGCATACATGAAAAGCGTGACCAAGGACTAAGTGTCGCATAGTGCATTCAGGCAGCTTAGAACATTGCAGTATGACCCTATCAGCCGTCGCTGACTGCTGAGGAAATCAAAAGCACCCCCACACCTTTGCATGAATGGGTTGTAAGAAAATGATTGAGTTCATTACTTCTTTTCTCTGCATGGTGTGTCTTCCAGCTGCTCACAGACCCTTAACTCCAGCACACGCTGGAAAGCCAGGTTTTTTCATTCCGTAACGTGTGAAAGCAGCCAGCAGATTTGTCAGCCCTTCGAGGCAGCCTTGCAAACATGCGTTGCAAGTCCCTGCATGAAGTCAACAAAAACAGGACGCGCGTGAACCCTGTGACCTTTGCATTTCTTACGACCTCTAAATACGCTGCCAACCTCCCACCCTACACGCCCACTGACGGGAAGAAGAAAAGCCATGACTAGTCCAGGATACGCAGTAAACTTTTCTGCTTTTGCTCGAGGGACGCCCCTCTTCATAGGCAGATCCGTGCTGAGCGTTCCACTGCCGGCGCTTGTCTTCCAGAAGCCTCGACTCCACTTTGACTCCTACATGCAGCGTCGCCAGCGCGATCAGAACTAGCTTGGCCAGTTTACCAGCACCCCTTTTCTGCGGAAAGGGCAACAAATCCGTTAGGGTTGCAAGCGGCCTGTCCTCGACCTTGAGGCGACAGGAGCACACCAACAAGGTCAGCGCGCAGCCATCTAGGAAGAGCGGCTCCGACGTGGCCAACCATACCAGGAAAGAGACGCGAGCAATCTCAAACTTGCTGCTAGAGCCAGACCGCAATTCTTCCATAGGGCATAGGTTTCCATGCCACATGGTTCCTGCAGACAGAATCAAGAACGGGCAACCAGACAGTGGGAACAACACAGCGCTTGCGAAACCATTCCTGTTGTGTCCTGTTCACAGTTGGGAAGACGAAATGGTTTCCAGAAGGGTCGGTTTCCTCTTGTTCTGCTTGCTGACACTCTGGCCAAAGACCTCGAGAAGCAAGACCTGTGCCCTCAAGGCGTCATCAATGCATTTGCACGCCCTTCGACAGCATTATTGCCACCGTGTTTCTTCAAACTTCAAGTGTTGGGAGCGGCAGACCCATACCACTTTGTCACCCACGGCCCACGAGTTCGTCCCCTGCTCCTGCATAGACATCCTCGTGCCGAATGAGCATCCTCTACGAAGGGTGTCAGGCCAGGACGCCTCCATCCTCTCTCAAGTTCTGAATCTTCAGAATCAGAAGGCTGCTGACACCGTGTGGTTGGGAGCGACGTCCCTGGTAGAAGTTTAGGACATGTCAAATCACCAACATGCTCCGTCCATGTCTGCAGTGGGAGAAACAAACTCGCGCAGCCAGCCCAAAGCTCGCGAGGTCAAAACAAACCACCAGGCCACGACCGGCCGGTGTTCTTCCGGGGACGATCGACTCCAGCCGTTTCCGCTCAAGCAGGCACACGAAACCCCTGGGAGCAAAGCCCATTTAGCCACCAGTTCTTGATGTAAAGAGCAACAGCCACAGCCCTGGCTAGCCAAGTCAGTAGGAGCTCAAATGAAAGTCCTGGCAACAGACAGCTCTTCCAACGCCCAACCGCAATCAAAAGCCATAATATGAAGCACGCAGTGGGTGAGAGAAACGCTTATCGGAGAAGTGTGCCCGCATTGCGTCAAGTTTCCCAACCAAAGCGCAGCATACTTGCTGGCATCGTCCTGCTCCTCCATATCAATCAACTACGAGGATTGTCTATGGCGAATTGGAAGTATGCTGCTTGACAGCGTGGTGACCCTTTGCTGGCAAAATCCTTTGAGCATCTTTGAGCCTTTGAGCCATAATGCCATAAACGAATGAAAAAACGAATGGAAGCAGTCCGTGAATCAATCGATAAGATTCGATAAGTGGAAAGGCAAAACAAGGTGCCTCTGAAACCTTGCGGAGGTGAGCAAACACTTTTTCCAAAAGCTGTGCTCATCTTCAACTCCAGGGTGGTCGTCTCCCGAGCAAATCTTCTACCACAACGATGTCACCATCAAGGCGTTGGTGGCGATCAGGTGACGCGTGCATGGTGTGCATGACGGAATCGCGGGTCATGGCCATGCACGACAAAGGTTGTTCCAACCTCACCTGCATCCCTCAGACTTGGTGATCTGCGTCTCGTCATAGGTCGTGAACCACTTGATGATCTACAGCATTGGTGGAATACAAGTTGCTCAAGCACTTAGGCTTAGACATTCCTCAAAAGACTGGTATGGCAGTAGACCTTGCCTCTCGATAAGTGTTGCCATATGGTGGATGCTTTCCTGAGGCTGGGGGTGAACATGAAACATACCAACTGCTCTGGCAGGCCTTCGCTGATTGGCATCTTGTACTGGTATAAGGTGGTTCCTGGCCATAGCCTGTCTGTCAAGTGTTTGAAACGCATCCTGCTATGTCAGCTTCTACTGTCAGGCATTGATGACTTTGGAGAGCAGAATGAACTGCATTCAGTCTGAATCACTTCCTAGTGTTTTGGCTTTGAAGTTGGGTTGAGCCCCCGACCCACAATCCATCAATGAATGCCTGAGCAAAATCATCAGGACTGGAGTCTCACGTTGAGATTTCTCATCCCTTTTTTGCTCCATTCTGTGAAAAGCTCCGACAATTGGACCAAGTTGCGTTTGGGCAAACTCACGAAAGAATATCTTCTTGACTCGCTTGTTCAGCCTCGGCAAAGCTGCTTCGTAGTTACTTTGAACCTGGTCAAAGCCACATTCCACAAAGAGGAAGTCGCATCGCCCCCCTGAGCACCGCCTTTAGATATACCGATATGCAACCAAGTGCAAAGGCAAACCAAGATCACTGAGGTTCTAGCACAGCGGCATTGTCGCCCAGCGTTGAAAAAGACAACACCTCAATATGGCAATCTATAAATTGAGGTTCTCAGTGGATGTGAGGGTAGCAATGTTCCAGCTGGCAAGTCCTCAATACCCAACAAGGCCATTCTAGACCTTCGGAATTGCAAGTTTGGAGGCTTGCTTGCACCATGCAAGAAATGTGCTCTTCTTAGCTTCAAATGAGTGACATAGTGTGGAACCCTGGCTAAACAACAGAATAGACTAAATACCCAACGACCAGAAAGCATCCCAGCTCCCCCGAGGCGACCAAGGCAAGTGCCAAGTTCGATGCTTTGGCAAGGGCGCAGAAGTCCTGACACTCAGGAAGCATATACGTGTAACGAATCCAAAAGAATTCCCTGAAACCAGTTCGGCCACTGCTCCCTCGTACACCGTGCCTCCATGAGGCTCCCAGATTGAATTACCACCTTCCCACATTGGAGACACAAGCGTGATCTGCTTGACATCATAACTTCCCATGGAACTCATCAAACATTGGACGTTCAATACCGAAACTCTCATGATTCTGACCCCACCCTCAAATGCTCTCAAGCCCACCTCAATGCCAAGGCTGGCAGCATTGGATTTGAGCCACTCGACACAAACATGCCTCCTGCAGTGTTCAACTGCTCACGCGCATGTCTCAAGCGATTTTCGTTTAAGCCAAGCTAGAGAAAAGTCACAGCAAATGTGGTCTGTCTAATCGTCGTATGACAAAAGAACTCAATACAACTCAACTCCAAGATGTTGGCACTGGATCTCCATGCACAAGTCCGATGGCCGCCGAGGCACAAGTCCGGGCTTGTAACCACGATGACTTTCTTGAAGCCTTTCAAAACACTTCTACCCCAACTGGCCTTTCTTTTGTGCTTGTTTGATCCCCTTTGCACTGGTATATAATATATATTTCCGGGATTCCACTTCAAATCAGCGGAAGAGCCTTCTTCGACCTTGGCCAAAAAACATAATAATTGATCCTTGATAAAGCACAGAATCCTTGGAAAAAAAAACACCAGAAATATCAAATTGGGCGAGGACAATGATCTTGCGGTACATGGTGCATGGCCTGGGACGAAACAGTTAGAATTAAACTACCAGTATATACAAGAAAAGAGATGAAAAAAGAAAGGGTGAGGGCCCCTTGAACTTGGGCCCTCACCTTGCGTTCATCTCTTTTTCCGTGTATACTTTAATTCAAGCTGAACAGTCTTCCCCTCAGATATCCGGAAGGACTTGAAATGCACGAGGAGCTGACGGCTGATGCCAAAGCCAATGATGCGCATTCGCCTACGGCAGGTGCAGCCGCAAAGGCTGGCCAAAGGTCAGCATGTAACAAAAAACATGCAGAATGCCACACAATCGTGTCATTGCTTTTCTGTGACTTGCTGTCAGACAGGTTGTGCGCTGCGTTCACTCTTAGCCCTCCTGTGTCAGCATCGCGCTTGTGGACTCCGCTCTTAAGGTTTGAGCATTCTATCTTGGTGTTTGCGCGACTGCAGACCAAGCGATTGAAGTTGGAGAGGCTGTTTGAGTGGATTGATGTAACTGGCACTAAGGAAGCATTGGAAAGTTGATTGTGGCGAGAGAACACCTTTCTTTGCCTGGGTTCCCCAAAGGTGTTGTTCATCATGTGGTTGCAGTGCGCGTGCTGTTGCACAAATTCATGTCTGCTTTGCAGCATATCTCCGCCGGACATGTTGGTTGGAAGCCCGAACTAGCTGCACATGTATTTACATATTATGACTTGCTTGGGCGATGTACAGGAGATGACACCATGGTCCAACTGAAAAGAGGGTACCTTAAGTTTCCCTAAAAATCTAGGAGCCAAATGAATGGTGCGAGCGCTTCTTCAAGGAATGTGAGGTAGCCACTGGCACAGCAAAGCCAAAGCGAACAACTTGGTACACTTCTCGATTTGCCCTCGGCCCAAAGCGGTTTTCCACCTATGGCTGCGGGTGCGTGCGGTCGTCACGGCCGTCCACGGCCGTGCACTGGTCATGTGCCAGTTCTTGGCCAAAGGGATCCCTACACGGCAGCGGAAAGAGGCATGACCTGTGGAGGTGAACTTGAATCGCTTCCAAAAGCTAACTTCTTCACATGCCCCGAAGTTTGCCTCATCAGGTCAAGCCAAGTTGGATCCTTTGGATCGCCGCTCTCAGGCTGCTCAGGTCGGGTCCGGAGCTTCTTGGCCGCCGTGAAGGGTTCGTCGTAGAGCAGATTCCAGTGCTGCCTCTTCTTCAAGAACTGCATCACACCATCAGCAGCTGAAATCTTCGTCATTCCATCAGCCAATTGCTGATGTGAGTTCACCCACCTCAAGGTGGTGTTTTGCTCCATCAGGTGCTGGGACAAGCCAAGCACCTCCAAAGCTGTATGCTTCTCTTTCGCAGACAGGTTCGGGACGTCCTGCTGCTGCAACATGTCATAGAGCGCTTTTGCGTCCACCACAAGCACACCAGGTGTCATCTTCGAAGTCAGCCACGGGTTGGCCATGTCGAGAACTTGACCTCGAAGTTCTTGCCAGAGAGCTCTGACCAGAAAAAGCTCTGCTTCACACTCTGACAGGGCCTGTGCTTCAGCTGCTAGGCTGCTCCTGCAGACACGCCGGAGCTTGTGAGCGCTCCAACTCACCAGACTGACCTGGCCTTGGATGCCGCGGAGCATGCTCTTGTGGACAAAGCCGATGATGTAGCCTCCGGTGGATGACAGATCCACTCGGTTTGCTAGAGCTGCATCACTCCAGCCCACTGCAACAATGTCCTCATCAGCCTGGGCCTTGAGGTCATACACCGAGATCTTCTCATCCTTCTGGTTGTAGAGCTCGCGGACAAACTTGTTGATGTCCTTGAGAGTGCTTCGATCTCCGCGAGGCAGCAAGCTCTGAAGGTGGCTCAACTTTGAGCAGTGCTGAGGACCTGTCTGGTAGCATCGCCATTGAGCTGCGCCAAGCACTGCACGGCACTGATGGAGTTCTCCCTTCGTCAAGTCTTTTCCTTCTCCATCTTCCACCACTTGACTTAGGCCTTCACAGAACTCGGCCTGGCTGAGGTGCCATGCTTTGTGCTCATCCTGGGTCATCCAAACCCCGCAGTGGTTCATTGGCGGCGCTTCCGAGCGACTTGTGGAAGTCCTCCAGGAAGGTGCGCCAGACTCTGCTGTCCTCATCGCCCATCAGAAGAAAATCATCCACATGAGCGCCCACTGCACCATGCACCTGAACTCGGCCAGCATCGTCCTGGGTCTTAAGGATCCAGATGCTCGGGTCGACGTGTAGTCGATGAAGTTGAAGCCAGGTCAGGATGGAGTCCACATGATGGTAGAACTCTCTGGGAGCAATGGTGAGCCCGTATGCTGCCTTGAGAAACTGCACGGCTTGGTTGGGCTTGAGCTGCATAGCCTCCTGGAGCTCCACAACTGGCATGCCAAAAATCTGGCGATGAAGCTGGGATCACCAGTCTGCAGAACAGCTGCTTTGGCATCAGACTTCAAAGTGCTCCAGTTGCGATGAATGGCCATCTGCAAGAGACATTGCCGCCCACGACGAGTCAAAGTTGGGCTTCTCACCACCTCCGAACCAAGGTCAGGGTCAGTGAACCCAATGACTACCAGGCGCGCCTTGGCCTTGACCACGTTCGGGTCGTTGGTGCCCTTCAGAACCAAAACCCACCTCATTCGCATGAGGCGGCCCTGAGGGATTGGACCAAGTGCAGCACGGCAAACTTTGGAGCTGATCCATTCTTGAATCTCGATGCCCTTCGCCTCCTTCATGGCCCGTCGCTGTTCTTCATTAAGTTTCTGCCAAGACACTTCAACGCCCTTTGCAAGCTTCTTCGCCACGAACTTGCCGGGGTCCTTGACAATGGATCTCCATTCCGCCTCCGTTGATGGCGTAGGCAGTGTCACGGCAAAGGCGTAGCCCTCCAGCTGGTTCAAATAGGCCTCGTCCAACTCCGTCTCTTCCACGTAGAGATTCTCATCTTCAGTCGTGCCCCGTTGCTGAAGGAGTTCTTGACGTTGGACATGTTGAGGTCGTTCATCCATTTCATGGCGTCGTCGGGCCTGAAGAAATAGTGGATGCCGGAACAGAGGTGCTGGATCCGGCTCTTCGAAGGGCATATGATCAGGATCTTGGATCACAGCCGTCGGATCAAGATCTGCTCGGGCTTGATGTCGTGGATCAAGGTCTTGTCCAGCATCTTCCATCTCCTCCTCTTCGATGTCCTCCTCATGATGAACTGGCCTGCCCCGTTGGTGATGTCATATCTTCATCACTTGGATCCAGAGCTCGTTTTGCTCGTTGAAGCGCCCGGGCATGACGTTGATTCTCTTCCATGGCCTCACGGAATCTCTTTCCATCAGCTTGGAGTTGTCGCTGGGTCATGATCTCATCGTCATACTCTCCTTTGTTCACCAGCCCGGTGAGGTCCTGAAAGGTCCAGGGGAGAGTCAGCTGCGTTGCGCCTTGTGCCACAAGTCGTTCTCGTTCGCTGGCATGTCGAAGTTGGTTGGTGTGGACCTTCTTGAGCCTTCCAGATGCAATGATCCAGGCGATGTTGCGCGGCTGTCTCACGTGGCCGTCATAGGTCACCTTTGTCTCCAAGGCCAGGACTCTGGCCGGTCCATACCACCTTGCTACCTTTCGACGTGGCACATCCAGCTCTTGATGAGATCGTTCAGCTCGATCTGCTGGTGGTTGAAATCTCTTGTAATAGACCAAGGCTCCAGGGTCAAAGCGGACAGGCTTCGCCATCTTGGTGTTGAAGGCGGCGTTAGTCTTCTCTCGAAGGATGTACTCCCTGTGGTGAGTTTCAGCTTCCAGCCTGCTTTCGAGCTGCTTCTTCATCTTCTCGGAGGTGCTCATGCCGGACCAGTAGGGAAGATCAGGTCCATCATGAAGTCGAAGCGAGTCCGAGAAGTTTCTTCCAAAGACCCACTGTGCCGGGCTGTAGCCACCAATGTTGGACATGGTGTTGTGTGCACCAATCATAGCCCATGCAGCAACTTCGGGTGACATATTCGAGGATCTCAAGTGGGCCATCATCTTCTTCTTCAAGGCGCCAATCAAGCGCTCCACTTGACCAATTTGACCATGGCTTTCAGCTGGTACTGCCATCACTTCAACTCCATGGCCTTCTGACCACTCTTCAAACGGCCGTCCTCGATGCGCACCCTCCTTGTCCAACTTGATGATCTTTGGATAGCCAAAATCTTGGATCCATCCTCTGTAGAGGGCATCAATGCATTCCTGTGAAGTTGCATTGCGAGACTGGCCAGGAGTGATCTCATGCTTGAACAGGAAGTTCGCTGCCCCGTAGCCTGAAGCTTCGTCGAGGACAATCTGGAAGTGATAGCTCTGGTTGCCGATGTTGATCTCCATATTGTCCAGTTGAATCACTTCCCAAAGCTCGGTGGCCTGTTCGATGGTCACAGCACGACGAGCAGGTGGAATGGCTGCCTCCTGGCAGTCAGGGCAGTGAACGATGGAAGCCAGTGTCCTGATCAACTTGCCTGCTCCTCGATCTCGCAGCATCTTCAAGTAGGACTGTCGGCTGGGATGTCCAAGCTTTTGGTGAAGTTTCAAAACCTCTCTAGCCGCTTTCTGGATCTCCTGGTCAGTGAACTGCTTGAGGCAGTCCATGTCGCAGTCTGGATTGACTGCTGCCGCTGCGAAGCTTGCTTCTTCAAGATCTCCATCGACATCCTCCAAGGTCTTTGCCAATTGTTGGCACATCTTGCGCGGGTACAAAGCGCTCATCCTTGTGAGATCTCCTCCTTCGCAAGGAACGTGAGGTTGGCTGCATTGGCATAGTTTGTGGAGTTTCCAAACTCTTCGAGTGGAACTGCGAATCTTCCAGGGCTTCTTCACTGATCCACCCTTCGGCGCAGTCAAGCCGTAGGCGCAGCCGTCGATGTAGGCCTCGTGGTACTCAAAGGATCGCCAAAATCTCTCGATGGACTTGAACTGCCAACCCTTGTTGAAGCGTGGCCATTCTTGCATTACGTGGCCTCCTTGGTTAATGTGTGCCTCCATCACCGTGACAGCTCTCCCGGCTAACTTCTTGGACTTGGAGACCTTTGCCTGGACTTTGGCATATCCCTCGCGAGTGAGCATGTTCAGCTCTTGGATTGATGAAGTTGGACCACATGGAAGGGCCACCCAGACCAAATCTGGCTTCTCCTCCTTGATGAGGGTCATCACCTTGTTGAAGCCACTCTTCTTGTTCAAGTCGCATCCATTGAAGAGTCCACAGCGGATTCCCCGTCCGCCTCGAAGCTCCACAGCCTTTGAAATGCCACTGTCTTCCTCACAACATAGTTCCAAAATGGTGGGAGGTCGTTCGCCAGTGTTCATGGCACGTAGGGCAATCATCAGCTCCTCCACCTCAGAGTTATAGTTGTCGATCTCTTGGATCAAGAAGGCTGTCTCTTCCTCCTCCAAGGTGCTGATGTAGACCTCCTCATTCTCAGTGTCCCGCTTCTTCCTCTTGCCACGTGAGGAAGACATTGTCGTCGGCAAAATGCCATCTGAAGTGAAACCTTCGACCCTCTCGGTCGATTCCGCCATAGGTGTACTTGTACTCGTCAAATTCCTTGCAGGTGAAACCTCTGGTCTCAGCCTCTGAGCACTGCCTTGATGCACCTTCTCCGTCACGGGGTCGTGCTCGGCTGCCCAGCCACCATCGACCACTCCTCCGACTCCGGGCTCTCGCCATTGCGATGGCTGTACTCCAAATGCTCCGCCGACTCCTCTGGCTTGCGAGCTTTGCGGCCCGGTGTCTGGCTCATCACCTCCTTGTCGGTGAGCGTGGTCCCGATCTGGGAAATTGGTCCCGAAGACATTGTACCTGACGCCTTCTGCTGATGGTCCATAAGGGCGTAGTCCATCTTCTCTTTCGGGACGGTATAGCCTTTCCCATGGCCTTTCTCTTGGTCGTTCTCCTTGATCGCCTCGCCCTTGCTGGCCTGGATCTTCAACCACTGCTCTTTCTTCTTTTGCACCATCTCCAACTGGTTCATGATGCTCCTCTCCTGCGCGTCGTAGCCGATCTTCTTGTTGACCAGGTCGATGGAGCCCTTTGCTGGCTTCTTTTCCTCCAGCTGCTTGGAAGTGTCCTGATGTAAAGGGCCAGCTTGTCGTGATAGGCCATGACTTCCCCACGAGGGGGTGTAGCTCAGGCGGATGCCGCAGGCCTGACATCCGGTCCACCGAGCAAACTTGTTGCTCCCTGTCACCGATCCTCGGCCCGGCAGGGCCTCCTGGCGTTCCCCGAAGCACGGAGGTCCCAGGCATCGAGGATCCTCCTTGTCCGGACCCTGCGTCCGTGTCCAGTCGTACTTCTCGTCCGCGGGGATCTTCTCCTTGGTGGACTTGTCCTTCTTGGGCGCCATGGCGTGGTGGTGAAGGATCCAAGGCAGCACTCGATGGGCTCACGAGCCTTCACTCATGAGCACAATGGACTCTTCAGGAAAATCTTCACCTTCTATTTCATCCTCAATCATCCAAACCTTCTCAACAACACAACTCTTGCACGACGCGGTCGATGAAGAAGTGCAAATCGGCATGGAAGCTTCATGAACATGGCCACATGGAGAAAAGCTTGAATGACTCAACACATTCGACCGACAGTGCGCTGTATATGCTGCACGGGTTGCAGCATTCAAAGGTTGGCTGACATTCAACCAGTCCATGGTGAGGTTCACCAAAAGATGTCCAGCTCGGCTCTTTGCCAAGGGGATCTTCACCTCTGGGGAGATGGACGAAAGGACAAGCCATCTCCCACAAACATCTATCAGCGCACCCATCTTCTCCATCAAGATCGGCACCTTCTCGGCGTCAATCGTGTAGAGCCCCAAGGAGACCAGTTGATCTCCTAGTCGTTGTGGAACCATGACATAGCTGGAGGACACCTGAATTCCCCCATTGCCAAACCTGAAAGGCTTGCGAGCAGATGGTCCTGTGAACACCTCCACTGGTTCCGAAATGCCATGCATCCTGCTGCGCAAGTCCATCAGAGCCTCAAGCGCCTCCAAGGAGCCCACCGTCTCAGTGGCTCCAATCCAGCACTCCATAGCCGGTGGTGTCGTAGATCACCTCCTCCTTCATGACCATGCCCACGAAAGCCAAGGGTGAGCCCGTCAATGACTCGACCCAGTAGGTACCTTTCTTGGCGCCCTTGCCAAATGAACTTGTCGACGGATTGGATCTCTTTGGGCATTGTCGGAATCCATGGCCCTTATCGCCACAGATGAAGCATCCCGTGCTCGAGGTCGTTGAAGATCCATCCGGTCCTTGAGCAGCAAATAGAGGCTTTGCCATCGTTGAAGAGGATGAGGACGATGAAGTGTGTCCCATCTTGTACTTCCCCTTCGAACGGCCTTTCTTGCCCTTCATCATGCCCAGGGGATAGAAACCTCTCGAGGCACCTTTCGCTTTCTGAAGTTGTCGGCTCTGCATGAAGGTGCGGGCTTTGTTCTCGTAGGCCATGTAGGCTTCATCCAATTCTTTTACCTCCTCTGGATCCAGGTCAGCATAGCCATCGTCAGCACTCCAATAGGTGTCATAGCCATCAGTCTCGAACCAAAAGCCATAGTTGTCCTGGTAGTAGCCATGCCATCCATCATACTCCTGCGTCCAGAGGATGGAATCGTCTTCATCATCCTTTGAAGGTCCAGGTCCAGGGTCATATACTTCAGCTGGAAGTTGAGGTCCAACCCAGTGGATCTCTGCAACCTCGTCGCCGTCTTCCATGGCGGCAAGTAGACCCCATTGACCATCTTCTTCCACCCAGTAGGTGCGGCGTTTGCCATGAGGTCCTCGGCTTTGGTCTGCCTGCAACAGCTCCTCTTGTTGGTCTCTCAAAGCCAACTCGATGTCCTGGAACTTGAGGGAGTTGTTCACAGAAGCTTGAACAGATAGGCGACTCGATGCACTCAGGTTTGCCCTCCTGAGCAACAACCATCCAAGAACTTCATCCGGCAACACCTGAATCTCCTCCACCTGGAGCTCGTCCCAAGGAAGATCTTCTCCAGAACTTGAATCGTCATCATACCACTCTTTCTTCTGCTGCTTGCGCCACTCCTTCCACTCAGCGTCTGTCCAGCGTGGTTCCCAATCTTCATGTTCTTCTTCATCTTCAAGACCTTGAGGGACAGCAGCGTAGTCGCCACGCTCATCTCCTGACTCCTGGATCGGGTCTTGAGGGTCAGCACCATAGCCAGCAGTTCTTCTTGAAGGACTTGGCGTCGACCGGTGTGCTGGGCTCGTCGAGGGCGTTCTCCTCGTCGGCGAGGTAGGAGGTTCTTGATGAGGTTCAGAGATGCTCTTCACCTCATCCTTGTCCTTTGCTCGTTGGAGCTGTCGTGCACGAATCAGGGCCCGCTGGACTTTGCGGTACCCCTCCAACACTTCGTTGGCCCATTGGCTCATAGCCATACCAAGCGGCCTCCTCATCCGGATCAACAGATCCTCCAACCGAGCTCCTGCGTCAGGGATGGCCGTCCTGCACAAGCGGTCCTGGAGGTACTTGAGCAGGTACTTGGTTCCATTGCGTTTGCCAAGTTTCTGGTGGTCAAGATTGGGCGTGACTGCCCATGCTCGACCGGTGAGCTTGCTAGCGAGCTCTGGACCAAGAAGCTTCCTCTTGTGCTTGGCGGTCTTCTCCCAACAAAGGCGGACTTGACGAGCATAGTCATTCCAGCCGGTTGGCTCTCCATTCCAACTGGCCACTTCCTTGAAGTCTTTGGCCATCTTCTGAGGGTGAACTCGCCGAGGTGGTCTTCCAAGAGGTAGTAGGTGCCTCGCCCAGCAGCTCAGCAGCAGCGGCGGCGCTGGAGGTTGTAGAGCTCCTAGAGGATGTAGTTCGGGCGAAGTTGTAGGTGCAGTCACCAAAGAGTAAGTCCCGAGCGTCGATGGTGTAGTCGATGTAGGGCCCAACCACGATGGTTGAGCCGAGCCGGATCGCCCGGCTCCGCTACCAATGTGAGGTAGCCACTGGCACAGCAAAGCAAAAGCGAACAACTTGGTACACTTCTCGATTTGCCCTCGGCCCAAAGCGGTTTTCCACCTATGGCTTCGGGTGCGTGCGGTCGTCACGGCCGTCCACGGCCGTGCACTGGTCATGTGCCAGTTCTTGGCCAAAGGGATCCCTACACGGCAGCGGAAAGAGGCATGACCTGTGGAGGTGAACTTGAATCGCTTCCAAAAGCTAACTTCTTCACAAGGAAGCTCCCCCCTTCCTTGAATAAGTGTGAGCTATTCTGCCTCCATATGTAGTAGCTTACTTGTAGGTACTAGCTCAGTAGCGGCTAACCCACCTCACCTCTACTAGCGGCCTACCCCGCGGGTTCTTCAAAAAAGACATAAAAAGACAAGAGAAAAATAGGCTGGTGGCTTTTGTTGATGTGCAGAAGGCCGAAGCCTCCCCGTTCGAACACCCGGAAAGCTCTAACTTGCGCCGCGGCAGACATCTGGAGAGTCAAAGACGGCTTAGACCCACTAAGACAACGAAACGAAGCACAAAGAATGTGTTGGATTTGTGTCGCCTCCATGGGTATCGGCTTATCAGATTTGAGCTCATACTCAGCCATGCCCCAAAGGTCCTGGAATTCAATTGAACCCATTGATGGAACGCTGTTGGTTGCATAGCATCACTGGTCGCATGCACAATAATTGCAATGCCTGTTCTGCAATAGCTTTCCTGATGTCACTTCATTCACTACTTCTGAATTATATAGAATCTTTGCGAGAGGTTCTTGTATTATTTGTGGAATGTTCAACCTCACGTGACTGCCTTCGCTCACTTCACTCCCAGCTCCTGCCCCCTGAGGTGAACTGTCAACTCCTGTTTTCAATGACCCACGGATCACATAGGATCAAGTAGGCAAATGTGTGAACTGCAAGGCAATCTCCTTCTCCGCATCTTCAGGCGCTCCAACATTATTCAAACCTCATAGCTGACAATCATCTTGACATCTAGTGATGTTACGACAAGCATCCAAGGAAGGGACAACTTTTGAATTCCGGTTTGAATGCCTGAAAATCCGCAACTTTGGTAGCTCTAAAGCAAATTGCTTGCTAGACTCGGTCTAGTAAAACTGATACCGCCTCAAACTTGCAAACCTTCAATCAAGATCAAACTGAATAGTGTCCTGCACCAAGGTGTCCAATGCCAAAGTGTGAAAGTCCTGTCACTGTTGGACTCACAACTTGCTTCGTTGGCAAGCCAAAGCAACTTTACTCCCATCAAGATCCATGGAGTCACGAAGCGTTGGAGTGATCTCTGAGCCCAAGGATTGTCTTTCTCAAGGTTTTGAGGCCAACAATGTTGCGTGACTGGCCAGTTGCGACTTTTGTGGGCGGATGCATTATGAGCAGTGAACCCGAAGCCCCACAGGGCAGGCTGCCACTGTACAAGCAGCTGTGCTCAAAGCACTCATGCTACGTTTGAAGCATCAAAATCACGCTTTGCAAATCACACCATTGATGCAAATGACTTTGTACAGCAGTTTCAACTTTGTCCACTTTCAAGTCTTTCAACTTTCCAGCAGTTCATTGATCTTTGTCAAAGCCTCAAGTGCACCTATCCCCCCTATTGAAATAGAACGCTCTTGCAGGTGACGTCCGACATCGCTGTCATCCCAGTTGATTCGGATCAAAGACGCCCCTTGGAACCGACCCATGATTCTTTCCGAAGTGAATCTGATTGTTGGCACAGCCTTCCCAGCGCCCACCTCCACAATAACGAGATTTGCTGATTCGGGCAGCTCCTTCAGCCATGCATTGAATCTTTGTTCCTGCTCGCTAATGATCCTCATATTCACGCCGAAATCGCTGAACATCAACACATTGGGCCGTGCAGGTTTCCCTTCTCTGCTCCTCCGCACAAGAGAGATTTGGAGATTTCTGGGAACCCATTTCAAAAGATTTAGAATGGACCTCACCAAAGCAAAGAAAAAGCAGCATCCAAACCCTATGCCTCGGCAGTCGAGATCCTGGAAGACTTCGAAGCAAGTCAGGCCCATCTTTACGTCGCACTGCTTTGGCGCTCACTGGCTCCCCATCAACTGCCAAGGAGCAGCCATCTTCCTGCACGACGGCTGGAACTTCCGCACCTGCAACGAGGGCCAGAACCTGCTCCAGGGGCAACGCATGTAATAAAAGCACTAAACAGCATCAGCTTGAATTCCAGGAACTCCTCAACAACTTGTCAAGTCAAGTGTAACTTTCTCCCACTTGATCGGTTTGTGCCTCGTCTCCAGCTTGCAAATCCCATTCTGGGACCTCGATGCTCGTCAGGTCTTTTGCATCCGTGGGCCAAATGCTTTCGTCATCCTCCACGCACTGCATGCGAGTCAAAGCCTCAGCACTTCTAAGGGACCGTATTTACTGAAGGCTTCAGAGGGACAGTAGAAAAAGAGCATCCATCCAAACTCACTATCAAAATCCTTGTTGGTTTGGTTCTGGGTTTCCAAGCGTGCTTGCTTCTTCAAACATGTTTGGTCTAGGATGCAGACTCCGTGGCGTTCCCAAACTTTTGCTGGACCAACTCCTTCAGTCCGGTCCCAGTGCCCATCAATGTTTGATGTGACAGAGAACAAGCCATACCTGAGCTGTGGAGATCAAGTCAGCGGCATGCCCGACACTAAAAATATGAATCTACCTGTTTGATCTGAGGCACTTCATTTTGTTTCCCCATTCCGCAAGAAGGCTGTAACCACGGTGAGGCTCGCCAAGGGTATACGCTTGATGTCGAAACCGCCAGAAAGCCCAGGCTAGCCTGCCCAGCGAAGAATGCTTTTCTCGAAGAACAACACTGAAAGATTTGACATCCACTATGAAAGCTGCCAAAATGGATGCTGGCCTTGGATCCGTATCAAACCAATCTGGACTTGACATTTCGCTGAAATCCATCTGCATTGCTTTCAGTGGAGGCCACACACCAGCATTTCGCCCGCGGAAGGTTCCCAAACCTCAGCCACCATCTGTGAACATTCCAAAACCTCACAAGCAAAATGAAATGCTAGATATGTCTTTGTTAAGGAGTAGCACTATCTGCATTCCATGCTGCATCAAAGAACATATTTGATGTCCGGCCTGAATCAACTCCCATTCCTGCACCAGTGCAAATCAGCAAGGCATCCGCTTTGCTGATGTGTTCTGCAGCTGCAGCCAAACGAGACGGCGCAGCCATGCTGAGGACCGAAGCGGGTACACAGTACACAGCCAAATCTTCAGAATGGCGGCAGCACACAACAGATGACAAGCCTGGAATGCTCATGCGAAACCTTTGCATATATGCGCAGGGGCTGCATGCGCCTTCGCTGTGCTACCCTTGCATCGCTCGCCCTGCACGCGCAGCACTCTTGACAAGCATTGATGGAAGGTGGAGTGTCTGTTCAATAGTTGAAGTACAGCATCCAGCCTGGAAGTTGTAGATTGGCCTTCCTTCTTGGCGCTTGTCAGACCTTTCAGATCATAAAAGTTCTGCCCATGTTGAGTGTATCGTGATACCTCCTCAGGTCACTATCCTGAGGTCTTGACTTCTCTGGACAGAAACGTTGACCCTCCAGCTTGGAGCTACTCAGCTGCAACACTGCCTGTGGCGAAGACTTGTCAAAAAACTAGACATTACATTTTCCCCCAGGTGCTGCTTCCCACACAAAGGAAAATGTCGATGCATCTCTTGCGAGATAAAGGATAGAGTTGGTCCACCTTTGGTTCGAAGAGCTCCTTCACGGACTTGCTGGTAATGCTGAATTGAACCGCCACATGATGAGTGAGCTTTGCATAAATAATTCCACCTGCAGGCACGTGTAGTTCCTGTTCCTGAAAATATAATGCAGTAAAGTGTCCTGTGTTCATTTCTTTTGCCCAGTGGCGAAGGATGAAGGCCAAGTTGTTGCCCAAACGTCCAGACCCATCAGTGACCTCACAAGACCCCGTTGTACAAATCGTCAAGGCTTGGCTTCTGATGCTTCTGCGCCTGCATCACAGGGCCATCGGCTTGTGAGCTCTGAAGCGTAGTCTGAAGTGTCGGAAGTGTCGTGGAAGGAGCTCCAGACGCTCTGGTCCTGTGGTTTCGAAGCAAAACGTATCCCCATCTGTCGTCCCGGAAGTCGCTTTGTTCCATCTCTGCGTTTCCCTTCATCTGCACATGCTGCCAGGTGACGTTGCCACAGGCTCTCTAACCTCAACAACTCACACCAGTGGTCCATTCCCTTGTGCCAATACTTGCCATCAGGCTTTCCTTTCCAATATGATATCAAAAGACGGGAAAAGCACCCTCAGTGTCCTCTTTTGTTCAGAAAATCGTCCGGTCCATTCCGCTGATTCCTTTGCTAGTAATTACAATTCCAATTAATTTATTTTTGTTACTAGTAGTAAGGCACTTGTTCCTAGTAGCTTCTTGTTACTACTAGCACTTGTTACTAGTAGCGATGCACTTGTTCCTAGTAGCTTCCTATCAGTGTCCTCTTTTGTTCAGAAAATCGTCCGGTCCATTCCGCTGATCTCTTCCTAGTTGCTGGAGCAGCAGTCGTCTGAGGTGGCACGGATGTCGCAGCTGGTGTGGTTGGAGCTGGCGTAGATATTGTTCTGTCTGCGTCTGTTGTCGCATTGCGACCTGGAGAATTGGCAAATGTAGGAAAAATGTCACTCTGCAGCCTGCAACTCCTTGGTGTGGCATTGGGGTGGTCTGTGTCGTGCAGGCCTTCCAGGGCTGGACGGCCAAGGAATCGATCTGCAGCAGCCTTATGATGGGAAATAGCAATATGCCCTACATAAACGTCCTAAAGTGGCTAAGGTCAAGACAGATTGCAGGTAGAGGCTCATCAAAGAAGAAGCATCAGCCCTGCAAATGGCTTGCACAAAAGGAGGTTCAAAGAGCAGCAAGCAGGCTATAATATGTCTGCGCTAAGTAAGCAGCTGAGAGTAGGTGCTTGCGACAAGCAGAATAGTCGATAGGACAGCCTAAATGGAGTTGTGCTCAATTCAAAACGAACGAGTTGCATCTACATCCGCCAAAACACGTGAGCAGCTGATCAGTTGATTTTCCATGCAGCCAAGGTGACAATGATCAGCAAGGCTCTGGAGCATGACCATCCACAGGCTAAAGTAGACGTCTCCGGTTGCCGACTCTGCCGTCTCCCATGCCTGAACATACTGCACATTCCCGCCAATTATGTGGATGATTCTCCCTATGTTCCCTTCACCCCCCCATCACACCCCTTCACAGTGGACCAGTGTAGCTCTTTCCACAAACGTCTATGTCTCCGACATTCTGTCTAGCTCATCTGCGGCCTTCGTCTGGGTCGAGCACTGGCATCTTCAGCTGGTAGGGGCATCCCTCAGAGCCATGGCTGAGCCACGGCTCGGTGACATCATGAGGCCTTTCGTAGCGATTGCAGCCCTCCTTTTGCGCATTGGCTGATCCTAGTGGAACCTGAACTTCCTCTGTATGAACTAAGAATCAGAACCAGGAAGCCACAGGAAACCTATACTTTGACGCAGACTGCGGCATATCATGGATTGCTCGTCTGGGCCAGTCTGAACTCGGACAAGAGCCAAAATGGCGTCTGTGTGCAGGTGTATGTACGGTACCATTTCGGTCAGGGGTAGAAGAATGCAAGTTTTTGCAGCCATTTTGTCACAAGGACATTCGCACAGTTTTTGGAGCATGAGATAGTCAGTGGGCAGAGTCAGAGATCATGATATGTACACCAGAGGCGTGTAAGACGCGTGAACCATTTCCAATCGATAAAGACTGCATGTTGCAATCAAGGACCATGCAAGTGCTTTGACTGCAATGGTGTAGGGATAAATTTGACTCAATTGCTGGATGTGAGTCCTGCAAGTGATGGAGAATCTTGGGCGACTTGGAAAAGGCTCATTGGCCACAGCCTCCCAGCTGCTCCTAGCTCCATCCTAGACCAATAGAAGTGAATGTGGCTCGCAGGTCTCTGGTATCGGAGGTAAAAGCTCCCAGCAGCGCCTACGAGCCAACGGCGTGTCCAAGCAACGGAAAATTTGTGGTAGCTATCTGGAGGGGCGGCAAAAAGGAATCATTATACGGTCAAACTGTACAGTCACAGTATTTCGGCAGCCTAGAATGCCGAAAAGGTTAGCTGCTTCAAGAAAATCAATGATGGTCCTCTCTCAGGGTCTCCTAGCTGACTAATTACCAGCCACACCAGAAACAATATCTGCATAGTTCTGGGATTCGGCGTCCTATCCCTAATTATCTCACATCTGGTTACATATGTTCATCGTTGTTCGGTCTGTCCTCGTGTTGTCTCCTTTTTTGTTCTTTGTGTCGCTTGGGTCTGTGCAGAAAAGGCTGGTGCAGGTGCACCCAGACAGACATACCTGTGGCCTGTGGTATGCCTCCCTTGGCCTGGGAACTCTGAGATCAAAATTCCAGTTCCGACTGAGCCCGCTCTTTCGACTGGATCAGACTTGTGGACTGGTGGGTTTCACAGGGTCAACTGCGAAAAGCTCTTCGTGAACAATCCTGCGAACAGAATTCCAGTGCATGGCATGGCCTACAAAATCCATGAGGGTGCAATACTGCTTATACTTTTATCTGATCTCGAGCACCAGACCTCACCTGGCTTGCTGCACATCTCACATCCTACAGTTGTGACAGTGATGACTTGTAACTCCATCTAGACTTCCCTAGGAAGTTCATCCTAGTGTTCCCCTTCGAAGGTATTCTTCTGCTCGCATTGGTTCACTCAGCGCGAACGATCCAAGGCCTCGCTAAGCAGTAGCGTTCCACTGAACGCAGGCAGGTTGATGGACCACTGTCAGAATAGATTCTGCCTGGCTTTGTGGCGTTCAGTGGAAGTGAGCATTTGTTTGCCAGGCTTGTGTGCAGCAAAGAGAATAGCAAATTAGTCTGAACACCCTGTCAATGTTCATCAAGCCCATTCCTTTGTCTCCATGTCGGTGAGGGTACATGTTCGGCTGAAAGCTGCAGCAAGGATGCACTGGCGTTTTGCCGCACTGCTGGGTCCAAGCACTACTCTGCGCGATTCCAACGCAGGCAAAGGAAACGACAATACTGCCCAGTGCTGGTGTTGGCACCGCGTCGGTCTGTCGGCAGCGTGTCCGCATCGAAAACGGCTCGTCGCAAGCAGCATACGCGCCATAAAATGCTACAAGGAGCAAGCTACAGTATATTATAGTAATATTAATATATTTTATACAATGCGAAGGCTGCGCTGTTGGTGCAATCACACACTAAAGGCACTCCAAACAACAGGCCAGCAGAAACGGCAAACCATAGAATTGCACCTTGCAAACAGGAACAAAAATCCCCTTAAACGTGCACATCGCAGGAAGAAGCAAGTTGCACAAATGGTGTGCAAGCACAGGAACCAAAACCTTGGAGAGCAATGTGGCTGTAATGGTTTTGGTACAGGCCAGTTTGGTTTCAGGGTGCTTTGGCTGTGTTCTTCGAGTTGGGACACAACATGAACGGTGGGGGTTTCGTTTGTTGCAGCATCCCTTGCCTCCGCAAATGTAGACATAACCTTAGCCGCTTAGCCATCGAAATGGTCATGTCATGTGAGTTGTGACGAGTTGCCTCCTGAGGCCACAATACCAGCATTGGCTCGTTTGCTGTTCATGGATGGCAGGACTTCCCAACAGCCAGTCTCTGGATCGAAGCCCTCCACAGAGCTTAGTTCCTGGCAAAACTGTGAACAAGCCGCAACACCCTGTAACAAATTGTACATGTGTATCTTACCTGAGAATGCGAGGAATTATGTCAGGCACTTGGATGACAACTAATCTCACAGCAAGGTTTTCTCCTCAGAATCATTGTCGTCCTTGCCACCACAGACCTCAGCACAAATGACACCTGGTCATCCAGAGGCAAAGTTCTTGTGGCATAAAGAGCGTCACATCCAAGGCGCATAAATCCTATGCTAATAGCAATGGCCTCCAACCTAAAAGCCATGGCCTCCGACCTAAAAGCGATTGCCTCCAACCTAAAAGCAATGGCCTCCAACTCAAAAGCGGTGGCCTCCAACCCAAAAGTTGAGCCTCCAACCTAAAAGCCATGGGCTCCAACCTAAAAGCGATGGGCTCCAACCTTCTAGCGATGGCCTCCAACCCAAGAGTGGAGCCTCGAATCTAAAAGCGATGGCCTCCAACCCAAAAGCAAAGGCCCTCTAACCTTCTAGCGATGGCCTCCAACCTAAAAGCCAGGCCTCCAACCCAAAAGCGATGGCCTCCAGCCCAAAAGTGGAGCCTCCAATCTAAAAGTGATGGCCTCCAAAATTCTACCGATGGCCTCCAACCTAAGAGCGATGGCCTCCAACCTAAAAGCGATGGCCTCCAACCTAAAGGCGATGGCCTCCAACCTTCAACCCAAAAGCGATGGCCTCCAATCCAAAAGCGATGGCCACCAACCCAAAAGTGGAGCCTCCAATCTAAAAGCGATGGCCTCC